AATAGGAAGAAGTACCGTCGACTAGGAAGGCCCAGTAGAAATCGCCCAGCCCAGTATAAGTCAGTGTGCAGGCCAGCTCGCACGGGTCTGCCTGGCCTGGTTCGCTCGTAAAGCCGTTTCCGTATCATGCGCGTGTTGAGTTTGTAAAAAAAATTGGAATCGTATCCGCGTAAAACCATAGTGATTTGTAGAGTCCGCGTATAATCAATTAATCTGTTAGAAGTTGGTTATTCTTCTACAGTAATACTATAAATAATTAATGGGGAGGATGTACGCTGGCAACAGAATAGAACCCAACTCGACCATCACTGTCACGTAGGTACGATTAAATACAAATTTTTACCCCGAACCGAGTAAATTAGATATATTTATACCAAACTTCTATATTTACTTATAACCCTTTTTTAACATACCATAAATGATACTCAGATGATATGTTTTATCTGAGTCGAGTACTTTTCTTGTAAGTTAATTGTGATACTTAATTAGATCATAATGCTGAAATATTAATGTTTGTGTCTTATAATGCAGTTGCAAATCTTCATGAAAAATATGCATCTACTGTGATAAATTTGAACCATGTTTATAAAGAAAATTATATTAGTTTTTCTATCTCCAATAAACTGCATCTTATAGTGTCGATGATCAAATTGTTCCGCAAAGAAAAGATGTTCAAACTGAATCCTCAAATATGTTAGAAAAAATAAGGAAAAACCAAAGAAACGAAATGTTTTTCACAAATGAATTTGTAGTAATCTCATGGACATAGTGTGTATATATAAATATGTGTGTATCCGTAAATATCTTAGTAGAGCATATTGTCTCGGAAATATTCTCATACTGGTTTCTAGCTTATGCTTAGGTATATAGAAATAAAAAATTTGATGCTTTCCAGGGCTTGTCACCAAATACAAAATATGTTGCCTTTATCGTATATTTTTTTTGTTTAAATGAGTCTCAAGTGTTGTAGCGCATTCAACAAATTCGGGAAAAAAATTGCGCAAAAAATATGTTTTCTTTTTTTTTTCATTTGCAGAGGCACGATTTTGCTTCGGCGAGAGGCATGACAATGACTCTCAGGAACGGGAAAAAACTTGTTTTCTGTTTGTTTTTGCATCCGCGGGAGGCACGTTTTTGCTTTCCCGACAGACACGACCATGACTCTCGGAAACACGAAAACACGCGTTTCCTATTTTTTTCTTGATCCGCGGGAGGCATGGTTTTTCTTTTGTGAGAGGCACGACCATGACTCTCGAAATGAAAAAAAGTGTTTTCTGTTTTTTTCTTCTCCTAGAGGCACGATATTGCTTCCGCGAGAGTCACAGTTTTTCTTTCGCGAGAGGCACGACCGTGCCTCTCGAAAACGAAAAAAAAGTGTTTTTACTTATTTTTTTCTTTCATGAGAGGCATGGTTTTGTTCCCGCGCGAGAGATGGTTGCTTTCGCGAGAGGCACGACAGTGCCTTCTCGGAAATGGAAAAAAAATGTGTTTTTTGTTTGATTTTTCCTTTCACGAGAGGCACGTTTTGCTTCCGTGAGAGGCATGGTTGTGATTTCGTGAGAGGCACGGTCGTGTCTCTTTGGGAAAGGGAAAAAACCATGCTCCCGGTTCAGTTGTTTCATCCGTTTTTTTTTTCATAAAAAAAAGTTCATCAAAACTTATCAACACGGGATCTAGTTTTGAAGATATCGACGCGAGAAATCCAATGGTGAGAACAGTTCGAGATTTGGACGCACGGTTTAAGAGATAAAACATTTTGAATGAACGAACCTACGAAAAAAGGGATAATACCAGGTTGCGACAAGTGGCACACATGCAGCGCGCCACTTGTCAAAACCTGAGAAGGTAGAAGCGATCTTTGCGAGGAGTACTCCACAATTAGTGATTTCGAATGACTTTACTTTTTTTCGTCGAAACAAAAGGAAACACAAAAAACAGAGGAATAGGGAGAAGTAGCGTCGACAAGGAGGGCCGAGTAGAAATCGCCCGGCCCAATAGAAGTCGGTGTGCAGGCTAGCTTGCACAAGTCTGCCTGATCTGGTTCGCTCGTAGAGCCGTTTCCGTATTGTGCGAGTGTTGAGTTTGTAAAGATTTTCGGGATCGTATATCCTTTTTTCCTCCTGTTCCTGGCGGTTGGAACCCTAGCCGCCGCCAGGAAATGCCAATCTTCCAGTGTCGTCCTCCGGCTGCTCATCTCCGCCGGCGACCCCGGTCGTTGGTTGTGACGGGGTTCACCGGATCCACACGTGTGTATCGTTTTTACTCCCTTGCAGTCTATGTTTTCAGGCTTCTCATCGTCTTTGCTTCGGCGGCGACGATGACGGCGCTGAATAAAGATTCTTCGAATCCTTCCCTGACGAGGCCATCGGCCCTATGGTTGGGGATGTATTTTGAAACCAGTCTCTTCAAGCAAGGATAGCGTGGCGATGGCGGCATCCTCGTGGTGGACCTGTGTCCTCGGGCTCCGCCGTTTCGACGGCGTTTGCTCCAGCGTCGGCAGAAGCTTGGGAGGTAGTCCGGGAGCGAATACAGATCGTGGTCTGCATCGACGACATCTGGAAGACGGAACATGTGTTGTGTTCGTGGTTCATGGACGGCAGGTATGGTTTCGTTCTGCGACGTCTTAGTCGCGTTGGGGTGCCAGATCTAGAGTTCGATGGCCTGTCCGGGATATTGCCCCGGTATGATTCGTTCAACGGTAAGGGCTTTACTTTTGGTGGGCCACCTTGGAGATCCGCAAAGCTGCATATGAGCGATGGAGCCGCGTCGAGTTCGGGGGAGGTGATTCGTCATTCTTTTCTTCGGTGGTTGCTGGTGTGGTGTCGGAGGCAGATGATGAACGTTAGTGTCAAGCTCAGAGATGTTCTGTTATCTTTTCAGTTTTATCGTGACTTGTACTTTAATCTTTATGATATATAAACGAGACACGTATTGCCATGAAAAAAAATCCGGATCGTATTCGAGTAGAACCGTTGTGATATGTAGAGTCCGGGTAGAATATATCAATGTGTTAGAAGTTGATTCTTCTTCTTCTTCTGCAATAGTAATATAAATAATCAAGGGTGAGGACGTACGCTGGCGACACAACGCGACACAACTCGATCCAAACAAGTCCTTGGTATATAGCCATGGATTTCTTGCCAAAGACAAGCACGATGGCATCGTCGCCGGAGGGGGCAGCGGTGGTGGACGCGTACAAGAAGGCGCTCGCCACGGCGGCCACGGTGAGCGCGTACGCCATGCTGGCGCGCGGCATGGCGCGGGAGCTCCTCCCCGACGAGATGCGCGCCGCGGTGCGCTGGGCCGCTGCGTTCGTGCGCTCCCGCTACAGCGCTCCCGAGAAGCAGCGGCATACGATTGTCATCCGGCGGGTGCTCGGCGGCGTCGGCCTCGGCGGCGGGTACAACGAGAACGACCTGTTCGACGCGGCGCTCACGTACCTGGCTACCAAGATCAACCCGCAGAGCATGAGCCGGCTCTGCCTCGCGCGCACCCGCAACAAGGAGCCCGGCGGGAGCGCCAGCTGGAGCACGCTCCTGAGCATGGAGAACGGGGGCTCCACCACCGACACCTTCCAAGGCGTTGAGTTCCGGTGGACGTCCATCGAGAGCGGCGGCGACGGCGGCAAGAGTAGGGCCCAGGAATCCCTGGAGCTCAGCTTCGACGCGGAGCACACGGAGACGGCGCTCCACAAGTACGTGCCCTTCATCATGTCCAAGGCGGAGGAGCTGCGGCTGCGAGACCGCGCGCTCAAGATCTTCCTGAACGAGAGCTCGAGCTGGAGAGGCATCAACCACCACCACCCGGCCACCTTCGACACGCTCGCCATGGAACCGTCCATGAAGCAGGCCGTGATGGACGACCTCGACCGCTTCCTCAAGCGCAAGGAGTACTACCGGCGGATCGGCAAGGCGTGGAAGCGCGGCTATCTCCTCTACGGCCCGCCCGGGACCGGCAAGTCCAGCCTGGTGGCCGCCATGGCCAACTACCTCCGGTTCAACCTCTACGACCTTGACTTCTCCGGGGTCTACGACAACTCGTGCCTGCAGAGGCTGCTCATGGACATGCCCAACAAGTCCATCCTCGTCATCGAGGACATTGACTGCAGCTTCGACACCATGTCCAGGGAAAAAGACGGCAAGCTACGCCAGGCGACCGACACCGACACCGACACAGACGAGGACGGCGACGACTACGACGACGTCGGAGCAAGAGGATACTTCCGGGGCCGTGAGCGCAACAAGATGACACTCTCGGGCCTGCTCAACGTCATCGACGGCCTGTGGTCAACGACCGGCGAGGAGCGCGTCATCGTCTTCACCACCAACTACAAGGACCGCCTCGACCGGGCGCTGCTACGGCCGGGCCGCATGGACATGCACGTCTACATGGGACACTGTGGCTGGGAGGCCTTCAAGACGCTGGCACGGAACTACCACCTTGTCGACGACCACGCTCTCTTCCCGGAGATTAAAGAACTGCTTGCGGCGGTGGAGGTTACGCCGGCAGAGGTGTCCGAGATGCTGCTGCGGAGTGAGGACGTCGACGTTGCGCTGCGTGTGCTTATGGAGTTCCTCAAAGTAAGGAGAAGCAAAACAAACGACAAGCAGCAGAACGACGGCATAACTAACTAGATAGCAGAGACGGCTAGTTGTCTCTGTGTGTTGCAACCGGTCATACATAGTGTAACAATTTTAGCGGTTCAATATCCATCGTGTCCGGCATCCCACCATATATATTTGTAGATTTTGGTGAGTTTTGATTTTAGGCTAGATAGGTGGGTCATCGCCTCAAATCGACGGGCACTATAGCTTAGCCACTTCCTAAAACACGCCAACAGATAAGATCCTCGATTGGCACAAGAAAAGTGTCGCCCGGCTCCTTGGCCCTCCTCCTCCGGCGGTGCTGCCGTCGTGAGCGAGCATGGGGAAGGTAGCCAGGTCTCTCCTCCGTCAAGTAGGTGTAAGATTAGGTTTAGGACTGAGTCTAGGTTTGCCTCTATGGCGTTTGACGTGATGTCGAGTTGGAGCTTCGTCCAGGCGTCCTCGAGCAGCGCCTGGCGGCTGGTTCTCTCCCGAGGTGAGCTTCCATGGTGGAAGTCGACAGCGGGTGGTAGATCTGGTGATAGCTTCCTTAATAAGCTCGAATCTTTCCTTGATCTGGAGGATCTCCGTCGCCTTGTTCCATTTGTTCGTCGCTGTCGTGGAGATGGGGACAGAAAGTGGAAGAGGTGGAGCGCAAGTTTGTTTCGATTGGGTTTGTGCATATTCTCATCAGTGCTTGGAGTGGAGCTACGGCGCCCACTGGAGCTGCCGGTCTCCGACGCCTCCCAGGTGACCTTTCTGGCCGAAGGGCGGCCTGGTGAAGCCATGCTGGCTTCGTTTCTTCCTCCTGGCTTGATGCCATTTGAGAGGCAGCTGTTCAACTTCAACATGGAGTCCTCTTCTTCCATCTTTGTCCAGAGATGGAGTAATGGCGGTCCGGTGATCCCAAGTGGCCACGTCCCCGGTGATGGCCGGACTGGATCTACGCTGGAGTTGAGTATTGGACCCGATTGTAATCTTAATCATCAGGACGGGGTCCTCCTTGTTAGTTTCAGGGACTATGATGTAATTTCCTTTTCTTTTGAGTCCTGGTATGAGCTCTGTACTGCAGCCGCTGATAGTTAATGGATGCTCTGGGTCCTTCCGGACCCTTTCTCTGTTCAAAAAAAAAGATTTGATTTGGATATGAATAGAGGAAGACAGGAAAAGTTTTGATTATTTGTTGAGCTTTTGATAAAAAAATATTTAATTTGATTGACTTCATGCATGACATGATTGTGGATGGAGGGACGAAACCAAACCAAATGATCAATGAACTCTCCTTTAATAGTAATAAACAAAATTATGTCTATAATATGTTTATATCTTGGGGTAATCGAGTTGGTTTTTTTTGCAAAAAAACTCCCAATCTATTCAGCTTCAATGGCAATACAACGAACACCAAAAATAATAAAAATTACATCCAGGTCCGTAGACCACCTAGCGACGACTACAAGCACTGAAGCGAGCCGAAGGCGTGCCGCTGTCATCGCCCTTCCCTCGCTGGAGCTGGACAAAAATTGGTGTAGTAGACAGTCGGAAAGTCGTCGTGCTAAGACCCCATAGGACCAGCGCGGCAGAACAGCAACCGCCCCCGATGAAGAGTAGCGTAGATCGAAAGGATCCAACCTGAAGAAACACAAACGTAGACGAACTATGACCAGATCCGAGCAAATCCACCAGGGATAGATCTGCCGGAGACACACCTCCACATGCGCACCGACGATGCTAGACACACCACCGAAGCGGGGGCTAGGCGGGGAAGACCTTATTCCATCTTCAGGGAGCCGCCGCTGTCTCGTCTTTGTGAACAGGACACGAACCCTAACAAAACTTGAAGAAACACCTAAAAACGAAGCCCTCCCACCGGCAAGGACCGGGATCCACCGCGCCACCATGGCCCTAAGGCCACCAGAGACGAGGCGGACCGGCGGCGGCGCCAACGGGAGGCAAAGAAACCCTAAGCTTTTCTTGGGGAGGAGACTGCTCTCGATGCCCGCTACCAATAGTTAACTTTTTTTAAAGGCAAAGCAAAGCTTTATAGATTAATAGTGCGTGGGCTAATCACCCAAGCAACCACTGAGGGCGGTACATCCTCTTGACGCAAGAAGCAGGTAGTTGGGATTTGCTGCAGGCTAAGATCGAAACCCGACCTCTCAGCTTGGGGGCTGATGGGGCCTCCTGGGACTTGACCTCGTCCCATAAATTCTGTCAAGTCCTTGTTTGACAAACTGACTGAGGGAAGCGCCTTGGATATAGCTAGCGGGCTATGGAAGGCTGGGCTTCCGCTCAAGATTAAGATTTTTCTTTGGCAAATGTTCAGAAATCATCTCCCGAAGGCTGATAATGTGGCCAAGCGCAACGACCCCTCCGACGGCTCTTGTGTAGTGTGCGGGCTCCACGAGGATGCGAACCACACTTTATTCCAATGGGCATTAGCTAAGTTTGCGTGGAGTGCCGTTAGGGACGTGTTCCACCAGAATTGAAACCCAATGTCGGGACCGGATCTGTTGGCAGTGCTACAAACCCAGCAGGGGGCTAATGCTAGGGTACTGTCGCGCTGCGTGGGTGCGCTGTTGCGGTCACTATGGACAATCCAGAATTAGATTACGATCGAGAAAAAATTCCCTGCTCACCCGACTGATGTAATTTTCAAATGTCATATTTTTCTTCAGATGTGGACACTGTTGGGGAAACAACGTGATGTTGAACACATGAGGGCCATGATGGAGAAGATCAGCAGCAGTATCTCACGGCTCTTCCACTCTTCGTAAGGAGCGATGCTTCAGTAGGACTATGTTATCTCATGTCTTGTCACCTTAGTATGGACCTTGTTATGTAATGCTCGTGTGGCCTTGAGGCCGGTTCGAACCATGTGGGTATGTAAATTAACTAAACCTTGTGATGTTGTCTGGTGGCTTTATTAATTTAAAGCTGGACGTGATTAGCGTCTTCGTTTAAAAAAAAAAACTTCAGCTGCAGCTTAATATCTTTAAGGACGACAGCATATGGAGACGAGTCAGTCTTGCGTATGTCTAGTACACCCGCCAGCAACTGGAAATCGGTCTCGAAGACAACCCGGACAGCGCCAATCTCGGCTGCAAGAGCTAGGACTCCTGCCATTGCCTGAACTTCTGCTCCAAAGGCGTCCTCGGTTTGCTCCTGGCGACCTGCTCCTGCAGCAATGATTTGCCCTATAGAATCCCGAATCACAACGCCCCACCCACAGAAGTTACTGCCATGTGTGAAAGCCCCGTCGAGGTTAACTTTGAGCTCATCTGCATTGGGTGGATGCCACTTCCCTTCCTGTCTATCCTTCCTCTTCGGCACAAATCTTTCCTCATACTCCAAGGCCCTGCATCTCACACTTCTTATAGTTTCAAAGACCCCTGGCGTCAGCTCCCCCTCTTTGATTTTGTTCCTAATGTTCCACCAATGCCATCACAATGTGATAATCAGCACCCGCTTTTTTTCCGGAGAAGCCCCAAAGGGAGTCCAACATGGCATGCACATTTGTGAATTCCTCTAACTTACTTCTCTCCTCCTCCATACCCAGTTCCCTCCAGGCTTGCTTGACATGCTTTCTTGCACTTTATGAATAGATGTGCTCCATCTCCCTCAGCTCTGCCGCAGAAGAAACATTTAGACTGATCTAACCGGAGGCCCCTTCTCATCAGATTGGTTAACTAGACATCAGAAGGTATGTTAAAACACAAGGCTGAGTAAAGTATATTAGGCATAAGCGAGGTGACCGCCTTACGTCTAGCTGTATAATTTTGACTACAATGTACCTTAACTAGACATCAGAAGGTATGTTAAAACACAATGTTGACGTTCGATCTGGGTAGCTCCCAGACCGATCGAATGATCAAAACGATTGACCGAAAATGGGAGCAACTCTAGATCGAACGTTTTCCGCTGGCCCTTCTGGAACAGGAGCAGTGGACTCAAAAACGAAAAAGGCCAGCACAACCCAATTACCTACCGTTGCACTAAAAAAACCAAAACAGTAAGATATGAAAACCTTGCAAAACAAAAACGAATGATTTACTATATATATATTAATCACCCAGGGTGCAGAATAAGTTATTCTTCACCCGAGGTAATCTTACGATCGCTTCCTAAATAAATTACGTTTAGAATATAAACAGTTACATGCATATTGATTTAATATGTAAAATTTGGTATAAAAAACAAAAATATAGGTTATAAGACCAGAAAAATCACATTTTATGTATGTTTTACACTATGTTTTTACATTCGTAATTTTACGTAACATATAATATTTTTTACGGCGAGTATATATATATACTCCTTTTCCATACTCCCAGAAGTATGTACTCCCACCCGATAACAGTAATTAACGTAAGATAAAAAAGCATACAAGGTGGGTCCACTCACGTGAGGGGAGGAGCGCCCAGCCTGATCTCCTAGGAAATAGGACTTTTTTGTTACAAAGCTAGCTACTTGCGGTTGATGCAATTGTAGTATGTCACGTTTACGAGCTATATACAGATTAAAAAGAATGTTTAGATTAGGAAGGATAATTATAGCATTTGGGGCTGGTAAAGGAACGACATTAAAGGTGGCATAGTTCTATTCGTTGCTGTCAAAGGAGTATCTCTAGAGGAAGGGACGGCTACCGGAACCTCAGAAGATGATCAACAGTTGTGGAAGGCCTTATGGAAATTGAATGTCATACTGAAAGTGAGAATATTCTAGTGGAGAGTTCTTCGTGGGATTCTTCCAGATGAAGTTACTCTCAACTATCGTCATATTGCACCAATCAATCGGTGCAAGGTTTGCTTAGCAATGAGGGGGGATCTGGAGCATGCTCTCATTCATTGTTCCCATGCGCAACGCTTTTGGGACAAGGCATATGCATGGTTTGGTATTCGCCTCCCTCGTCTCCAGGGGCGGAGCTAGGCTAATGCAAGGGTATGCAATGCATGCCCAATGATTTTTGCAAAAGTTTTTCAGTATATAAGCTCCTGTATGATTGTATGTCACGTATGGCAGCCTATTTGTACGTAGAGAACATGGGAAATGAAGAAAATAACGATTCAGCGTTACTTGGGCCTATATTGGGCTGCTACGTTGCTAGCACATTGCTACTGGTCCTTATTTTCAGGCTTATCGCTAGCCAGATTGGTCGAAGTCGACGAGACAACTCGACCAGCAACTCGAGCCTGTGTGATTCTGCTGATTCAACACATCGCGGCGCCGCATCCGCTCATCGGCGGCCATCAAGCAACCACTGCATCATCTCATCTCGGCTGTCGCGGATTGCCATCTCTCATTGCTCGGTTTCCTTCGCCTGCCCACATATTTTGCAGTACGTACTCGACAGCGTCATGGCGCGCACCAGCGCATGACGCATCTGCCAGCTGGAAGACAGATCGCCAACAACGGCGTGCGCAATTAGCCCATCGTCTGATTGACTGATTGTTCTTTGTGAACATTTAATCTTGATTTCTCGGAATTGTTGGACAAGTATAGAGGATTATGTTGGTTACCTAATTTTTTCCATTCATCTATTGCATCATCCAGTCAATTTTGAGGGCGGTTTGCATTGGCTCTTTACTATAAAACTTGTGAAGAACTGCAAGAAAAAGAAGGCGAAGTTTATGCACCTAAATTTCTGAAATATGAACATTCAAATTTTTAAGACTGTCCACCATGCCATCATTACTATCCAACATGTTCTTAATGTGTATAGGTGTGAACAATGAAGAACAAATATGATGATTTGAAACGTTTGTGGGGGAGAGCTTCAAAGGCGCCGAACATAAGTTTGACATCAACACTGACATCAGTATCTATCGACGTTGAAACCCAAGTTCAGGATCAAAATAAGAGCATCCACCTTCCAACGAGCTACAGTTGGCACTTGTATAGCCAGGTAATAATTTATAGTTTCGTTGTTCGTATTATGAACATTTTTATATGTTACATTGTTGTGCAGAAAAAAACTTACCCATGTCACAAATCCTGGCTCCGCCACTGCTCGTCTCCACCCGGATTCATGGGCTCGTGATATCACATGTGATACGCGTTTCTCTGATGATGACCGAGCCAAGATTACC